ATTTTTTTTGTTTTGGTTGCTTCTTCTCCCAAAATCCCTATTCCAGGTGCACTAAAAGGCACCGCATGTAAATGTGTAGTGCCAGGCGGAATCCGTGGCCAAGCCTGTAACTTTACGGAAAGGGAGCGTTCTCAGGCCACATCCCTTCTCGTTATCTCCGCCCCAAACGTACAGTCCACTTCTTACTTCGGCGTAAACATACCAGATGCGATTCGAGCTGACCAGCGGGACAGTGCCGGAATACAGAGTGGTGGTGTACGACGGATTGATCTCATACCAGCACTTTGATTCCCAAGTGCCGTCGTATTTCTGGTAGCGCACAGCGACATCAATCGACAAGTCACAATGATTTGTCAACTTAAAGTACTTGTTGTTCGAATTACAATCGCCACCATCGTAGCCACAGGCTCGCTTGTTACACTCGGTGTTGCACACGCCGTTTGCGTACTTGTTCATATAGTCACAGACGCTTTCGTCGCAGCAATCGCTTTCGAAAACAGAGCAGGTGTCGACGTCATTCCAGTTCCAAAAAGATCGGGAAGCGGGGACGGTTTCGTTAGCATAAGTAATTATCTCGTCCTCAGCGGGAACATCGGGAACATCGAGAGAATCGGGAACAACGGGAACAACATCGGGATGCTGTTCAGTTATCGAGTCAGTTGGAACGTTATCGTCCACGCCGGAGTCGGAACCCATGATAGGGACCTTGGCGGCGAAATTGACGCCACAAATCCCGAACAGCAAGAAGTATTTTTGCATTGTGAATTGAAATAGCAAAGTGTGACTGAACATCTGCAATGAGTGTGGCTTATATAGTAATTCGGGTGAGAAAAGAAAAAAGAAACAGGCTTTGACGAATGACGTCTGATCCGTGGACCATCCGTGGATCGGTTTGACGATTGACGTCTGATCCGTGGACTATGACCAAGGTACACATGTATATTATTTATTGAGGAGAAGTTTTAGAAGTCTTGAATCTAAAGTTCTCACTTGTACAGCAATTTGCTCACTCTGATAAAAAAGCCGATTCAATAAATTCGTCGTATGAGGACATATTTTCTGTAAATTCCTTCAGATCAAACTTCTGCAGTAGTTTACTCATGTTAAAGTAACAACGTCCAAATCTGGGGGGGGGGGAAGACTAAAACAACAGCAAAATATATATCTGCCGGCGGAACATGTGTCGTAATTTCAGAGATGGTACATATATTTCCTAAAAGCCTCGGTGTCTTGGTGTCCTGTGTTAAAACAACATTTTTTTTTAATACCAAACCATGTAACGATGTTTCACGCAAGAAAACAATAGACGATTTGAGTGTCGTCTAATAGAAACGTTCCGTGATTTGGAAATAGAGAGGAAAAAAAGCTTCAAGTCATGGTGCCGTGTGTCAAAAAAAAATTTGGATCTTGTATTTTTGCACTTTGGTTGTTAGGTCTTCTTGTGAAATATTTATTTTCTGCTCACAAGGCCGGTTTGTTTTTAAAAAACCAAGCCTGAAGGCCTCAGAGCAAACTTATGCTACAATTGCTAAAGGTAGGGTGTATTAATGTGGAGCATGAGTGTTTTGAAATAGAGATGAAAAAAAACTTCAAGTCATGGTGCGTGTGCCAAAAAAAAAAAATAGATCTTATATTTTAGGGTTCAATGGGGATAGAAAGACTCTTTGTTTTTTTAACTCTTTGGTTGATAGGTCGGTTTATTTTATAAAATCAAAAATAAAGTAAAGCCG